TCCTCTCCAGTAAAAAGCACAGTATTATAATTTGCACCTGGCATCTTCTGTTAGGACATATACCAAGTCTTATGAAATTTAGGAATACCAGCTGGCCTGGCTATTATTAACATTTTTTGGTAAAGAGAAAATCTTTATATCTTTCCCAAGCTGGTCTCACCATTTTGGGCTTAAGAGATTTCTCCTGTCTTAGCCTCCCAAAATCCAAGAATTACAAATGTGAGCCACCACAATGCCTGGGCCTAAAATGTACACCTCAGTAGATTTAAGATGGTAAATTTTATGTGTTTTTACAACAATAAAGTTTTTAAATAAAGACAAAAAAATGCAGAAGTATAAATATTTTCAAAACTTACCTTCAAATCACAAAAGCGTTTCTCCTACACAAGGAAATATATATTCATCATTAATCACATGGTGAAAATAAGACTATTCCATGACTACTCACTTCGACAAGACAAACTACCACTGAAAATCAGCTATGAAAAAATACTGGCCGGGCACAGTGGCTGACACCTGTAATCCCAGCACTTTGGGAGGCTGAGGTGGGTGGATCACGAGGTCAAGAGATCGAGACCATCCTGGTCAACATGGTGAAACCCCGTCTCTACTGAAAATACAAAAAAATTAGCTGGGCATGGTGGCACGTGCCTGTAATCCCAGGTACTCAGGAGGCTGAGGCAGGAAAATTGCCTGAACCCAGGAGGCGGAGGTGGCGGTGAGCCGAGATCACACCACTGCACTCCAGCCTGGGTAACAAGAGCGAAACTCCATCTCAGAAAAAGAAAAAGTACATACAAGATAAGCTATAACCCAAATTGTGGTTATATTTATAGGTAAACATATACAGATATATAATCTGATGGTGATAGATGTATGGCTAATTTATCTCTTAATTAAATCCCACATTGACTTAAAGTATACAAAAATAATTGCAAATTGTCTAAAATTATATAAGTAAAACCAAAAAGCACAATAAATGGATGCTAGGAAGCCTACACTGAAGAAACACACTAATACAGAACTGCAAAACAGTAACAAATGCTTACTCATAAAATCTGGTATGCAACATTAATGAAGGCACCATTAAAAAACTCTGTCCAGATAACTACAATATTTGACTGTAACTGCATACTCATGGAAGGCATTGAGTCATTGGCATAAACTGTGTAACAGCAACATTTCAGAGAAAATGCAGTATATTTGTAAACAGAAGATTCTGATGAGAAACTTTTTAACAAATACGCATTAAAAAGAAATTAGAGTTGATTTTTGTGTTTCAAATATGTGCTATTCTTACACAAAATGTAATCCAACTTTAGAAGCAAAGAATAGCCTTACACGCATACGCGCGCACACACACACACACACACACACACAAATAGGGTTAGACCCTCTGATACATATAATAAATATTTAGAAATGAAGTATGCTATTATTTAGATATAGGCTAAAGAAAGTAAATGCAAACTCTATAATTCTTTCTTTGCCTTCAGAAACAAATTTATAAGTAACTATTTTAGTAAATGTGGAGGGCCTACTAACTATCTAATTTACTTCAAACATAACATACATTCTGGCATATTGTCATAAATGTCTGAATCTAAAATTACAGACAAATTTGAAATAGAAAATAAAAAGTAAAAGCATATAGGGAGAGTGACATCAGTAAGACGGAGAAATAAGTTACCCTATTTTCTTATCCCTCCACAGCCATCCCTGACAAAAATGCCTTTATGAGAATCAGGCCTCATGGCTTGAACCTGTAATGACAGCTACATGGTACATTAAGGTTGGAGAAGTGCTTCAGGCCAGGATTTTGAGCCCAGCCTGGGTTATGTAGCAAGACTCCATCTCCAAAATGAATACCTTTCAGAGAGCTTTGTGATCCAGGAAGGGAGTTGTGAAACAGCTAAAGCTCAAGACTGAGGAGTGTTTCTTTTCAGAAGGCAGACCCTCATTCAGGTAGCATGCCACAAGACCCCTGTTCTTGGCGACAGACCAGAAAATGGCTCACCTGATTTGGTCCCGCTGAGAATTCTGCTTACTCTGTAATCATCCCAAACATCTCCTAGCCACACTCTGGGAGAGGTCCTATTCTTCCAGAGACCTGGAGGAAGACACTCATTTATAGCCATGCAGGCAGGCCTGCAGACCTTGGTCTTTATGTGGTCTCTGAAGCAGTTCGATTACTTTGTTCCAGCTCTCTGAGCCACAGTTCATGGCCAGTTCTGCTTCCGTAGATATTCACACAATGACCCAGAGAAATGTTCCCTGCTACTCAGTGAAAGCCATACTCATCCACATCCCAAATAAGGCCCACCATATGCAGACCCGACTGCAAAGTCATGGTGGCTCACACCTGTAATCCCAGCACTTTGGGAGGCTGAGGCGGGTAGATCACCTGAGGTCGGAAGTTCAAGACCAACCTGACCAACATGGAGAAACCCCGACTCTACTAAAAACACAAAATTAGCCGGGCATGGTGGTGCATGCCCATAATCCCAGCTACTCGGGAGGCTGAGGCAGGAGAATCGCTTGAACCCAGGAGGCAAAGGTTGCGGTGAGCCAAGATCATGCCATTGTACTCCAGCCTGGACAACAAGAGCAAAATTCTGTCTCAAAACAACAACAACAACAACAACAAACCTATCCTGGTATCTGCCCTATAGCGCAAAATCCTAAAGGACATTCAGTCTGTCCAAAAATAAAATGGGAATTACAACCCAAGCCTCTGTAACAAGCCAACTAAAGGTGGACCCTAGTGAACGCCCAGCAGCCTTGTGACCAAGCCACAACCCCACTTCACTACAAATTCAGAGGACATCCCATCACTCTGGAACTCAATCAAAGATCTTTACCTCCAGAAACCAGTTTATAAAACTTGAAGAGGTTTGCTTCTTCAGATTGACAGACACCAATGCAAAACTATATTGTGCCCATTGTCAATGCTTCTATTTTAACATTGCACTGAAAGTATATGGCAGAAGTATTTAAAAAAAAAAAAAAGTCACTGAAACTGAAGACAGCCAGGTGTGGTGGCTCACACCTATAATCCCAGCACTTTGGGAGACCAAGGTGGGTGGATCACGACGTCAGGAGTTCAAGACCAGCCTGGCCAAGATAATGAAGCCCTGTCTCTACTGAAAATACAAACATTAGCAGGGAATCCAGCTATTTGGGAGGCAGAGGCAGGAGAATCACTTGAACCTGAGAGATAGAGGTTGCAGTAAGCTGAGACCATGCCACTACACTCCAGCGCAGGTGACAGAGCAAGACTCAATTTCAAAAAAAAAACAAAAACAAAAAATGAAGACAAAAAAGTAAAAAGTTGATCATATAATCTTACATTTTAAAAACCACAAATGGCACTGGGTGCAATGGCTCACACCTGTAATCCCAGCACTTTGGGAGGCTGAGGTGGGTGAATCATTTGAGGTCAGGAGTTTGAAATCACCCTGGCAAACATGGTGAAACCCTGTCTCTACTAAAAATAAAAAAATTAGCCAGGCATGGTGGTCCACGCCTGTAATCCCAGCTATTCAGGAGGCTAAGGCAGGAGAATTAGTTGAACTCAGAATGTAGAGGTGGCATTGATCCAAGATCACACCACTGTACTCCGGCCTGGGTAACAGAGCCAGACTTCATCTCAAAAGAAAAAAATAAACAAACAAACAAAAAAAGCCATAAATAGTACATTAAAACCTAAATTAATAAATGCATTCAATAAATTAGCAAAATATAACATTAATGTAGAAGTTATGGTTCCATACATTAAAACAAACTGATAAAATAGAAAAAAAAAAGCAATCTTATTTACAACAGCATTAAAAGAATACATTTCTGAAAACAAATTTATCCAAGGATGTAAAAAATCTTTACAATCAAAGACATATCAGTGAAAGAAATTAGAAAGGACATAAATTTAAAAACATTTTATATCTATGGATTGAAAGAATAAATACTGTTAAAGTGCCATATTATTCAAAGTGATCTATAGACTGAATAAACTTTTTTGAGTCATACGTCTTGCGAAAAAGAAAAAAGAAAATACATTTAAAAATTAAAACAAAAAGATTCAATAAACTCCCAATCAAAACTTCAATGATTTTTTTTTCACAGTAATGAAAAACACAATTCTAAAATTTACATGAAACTACGATACATTTTGAATAACCAAAGCAATCTTGAGGAAAAAGACAAGTAGAAGAACATCATACTTTAAAATTTCAAACTATATTTCAAGACTATAGTAATAAAAACAGGATGGAATGTGCAAAAAAACAACAACCAAAATAGAACAGAAACCACTACTCACACATTTCAGACATAACACAAAAAGAAAACATAAAAGATAGTTTAACATAGAGTTTCTCAGAATTATGCAGCTATTTGTGCCTACCCAAAAACAATGGAAAAGGAGTCAGATGGTACAGTCTGTTACATGCCATGAAGAGGACTTTGGCTCTCACTTAAGCTTTAAAAAAGATCAGAGGGGAAAGCAGAATCCTTAAAGAATTTAAAAGTGTAAGATGAGGCCAGGCATAGTGGCTCATGCCTGCAATCCCAGCACTTTGAGAGGCTGAGGCAGGAAGATCATGAGGTCAAGAAATTGAACTCATCCTGGCCAACATGGTGAAACCCCGTCTCTATTAGAAATACAAAAATTAGCTGGGCATGGTGGCACGCACCTATAGTCTCAGCTACCAGAGAGGATGAGGCGGGAGAATTGCTTGAACCTGGGAAGCAGAGCTTGCAGTGAGCCGAGATTGCACCACTGCACTCCAGCCTGGGCAACAAGAGCAAAACTCTATCTCAAAAAAAAAAAAAGCACAAAATGGAAGATGTCCCTATGTGAGAGGAAAATTATTAAAAACAACCTGGGTTTACAGAAATTATTTGTTTTGAAACACATCTTCCCAAGTTAATTTTTAAAGATGCTTTCTCCTTGACCTTGGGACCTCTCAACGGTGTCATCTGCTGTGTTCACTCTCACCTACCTGGGGGTTCATCCACCATTTCATGTTGCTTCGTATTCCAGGGCTCTTTTTCTTTCTCCAGACAGGTAATTAGGTCTGGCTTAGAGACAATAACACCTGTTTTATTAAAAATAAATAATATGAATCTTGCTCATCTTCTGTAGTTATCAACTTAATAATGTGCTCAATAAAGAGGATGTAATGGAATATTCTAATAAGTTAATCCCAAAATAATAACTTATAACAGGAATTTCTAAATATGTACAAACTACTTTCAATTTGTAGGTACTTAATTTCACTACCCAGTACTACTGAATCAGAAATTGATGGTGGCAATTAGATTTTAAAGTGTGGGCAACAATATTTTAGGCCACAAAATTTCTGGAATTAATATTAATCCAGCCCAGGTGTGGTGGCTCACACCTGTAATCCTAGCACTTTGGGAGGCTGAGGCGGGTGGATTGCTTGAGGTCAGGAGTTGGAGACCAGCCTGGCCAACATGGTAAAACCCCATCTCTATAAAAAACAATAAAAATTTTTTTAAATTAAAAAATAAATAAATAAAACATGAATCCAGAGTGAAGGATACACATCATCTCAGGAATGTGGAAAGTTAAGGTCAAAATGAAACATCTTGAAGAAATTCTCTTCTACATGGATTAACTCCCAGGATTTTCTTGAAAACAAGGATACGAAACTCATTTATGCAAAGCATACTTTACCAAAACACATTCTACAAAAAGGAGAAGTAAGCCTTTAGGATATATTGGGAATGGTGTATTGAGGTTATCCTCACCGAGGAAGACCAGGTTTCTGTAGTTCTCTAACATCACATTTTTATATAAATTCTGCTGTGCTTTGTCCAGGCATTGCCACTCCTCCACAGAGAATTCCATAGCCACATCTGTAAATGTCAACGATGCCTGAAAAACACACAAACACACATATTTACCAAGTGGCCATGGGCAGAATTTTAAATTTGACTCAAGGTGAAATGAAAGAGCAAAGAGAACTGGTTCTAACTCATAGGACTGACTAAAATTTTCCAATAAAATTAATTTCAAAACAGAAATATCCTCTCTGAGGAAACAGAGTGGCATAAAATCTACAATATCAGTGCTTTTCTGTTCTCCTGAATAATAAAGTATAAAATCAGGGGCATAAACACAAACGTACATTTTTGCGTGCTATATTTACATTCTAAAGAACGAGTTGTGTGTATTATTCAGATCAAAAGGACATGTTAAATTAGAAGGTACGTCTTAAATTTTAATGTTATAAACTTGAGATCGTGTTAATGCAGATACTTTTTTCAGAAAATCAGAAATAAAGTCTGAGTTGCTGAATTTCTAACAAGCTCGCCATTAATGCTGATGTTTTTGCCTCAAAAAGAAGATTTTGTCAAAAACATTGAGTAAGTAAAAGAGCCTGTGTTTTTCCCAGTTTTTCTGGCCTATAATCAAAGATGAGAGCTTTCACTTTCCTAACACAGATCATGCAAAGTAAACCTCAGAAAGGACAGCTTCCAGATTAAATATGATAATTTATGCACATCAGCTGCAAAAAGATACTTAATAATAAAGAGGAAAATAATTAACTCTATAGTAAAAAAAAAAAAATCTGTCCGAGAGCTCTTTAACCAAGTGAATCGTTAATATCAAGTGCACTAGAACCAATTTTCATGATGTGCTGATACACACAGGACACAGCATCACTGCTGAAATATTGCCATCCTGAAAGTTAATTATAGTCTGCATTTAACCAGGCAGAAGCATGAATTTACGCAAAGTTTAAGATACAGATATCTTCCATGTTCTGTAATTTTTAATACTGATATTAAGTAATCTTTCTTTAGCACCCTGTACAGCAAGTATCTTCTAATTTTTTTAATTTAAGTTCTGGGGTACATGTGCAGATCTTGCAGAATTATTACATAGGTATACACATGCCATGGTGCTTTGCTGCCTCCATCCCCCATCACCTCCATTAGGTATTTCTCCTAATGTTATCCCTCTCCAATCTCCCCACCCCCTGCTATCCCTTCCCTAGCCTCCCATCCCCCAACAGACCTTAGTGTATGATGCTCCCCCGCCCCGTGTGCACATCAGAATGTTCCCCTCCCTGTGTGATCATCAAAAAATCTGGAGACCACAGATGCTGGAGAGAATGTAGAGAAATAGGAATACTTTTACACTGTTGGTCAGAGTGTAAATTAGTTCAACCATTGTGGAAGACAATGTGGCGATTCCTCAAGGATCTAGACATAGAAATACCATTTGACCCAGCAATCCCATTACTGGGTATATACCCAAAGGATTATAAATCATGTTCATTTTTTAAAATAACTTTATGGGAATAAGTGCCATCCTGTTTAAATAAGCATTTTTTACATCCTGTTCTGCACAGAGCTAATCTAATGGAGAACACACATAGAACCTCCACATTATATGTTCTCCATTTTCACTAAGGATGGACCCCTAATTTCCTCAACATGAGTTGCTACATCCCTTTGTGTCCACAACCACAAAGGGAACAATTTTAATATTGCAGATGATAAATTCATGGTGAAAATTCCGCATGGCATACAAGAAACCAAGACATGGAGAAAAGGCTCTGGTATAGAGGAAAGAAATATTTTGCAGAGACCCTTGGATATTACATGAATTTTTAAAAGCTGTTAAACTCATGAGGGAGGAAAAACACAAGTAAAGAAGCAAAGGCTTGCCAATTACTAAGCGCATGGCAGTCCAGGAAGCAGAGAGGACATAGCTCTTGATCTGAGATATGCTTAGCTAAAAGAAAGGCCATTTTTTTCCTTGTTTCTCCTCCTTCTCTGGCTTCCTGCTCAGATAAGATTCTTAATAAATTACATCTGCATCTTGAAAAAATACCTTTACAGGTTTCAGCACCGCCTGTTTACATCCACAGCAGAAGGACCAGAACCTGCAGAGAAAGCCCACCCGTTTCTGTTCTTTATAACAAAAGGGATTCAGGAACAATAAGCTGCTCCACGGGAGCAAAAATATAAATTTCTCTTTTCCTGTTCTCAGGTAACCTCCCCTGCCACAGGCACCAGCAATTTCTGCTATAGTAATGGAAATATGGGCCACACTGCCCTGTCCCTACCAAAGCTGAACAGAAAAAGGCCCTGTAACCACCCTTTAGTGCAAAGGGGAAATTTAACTCTCATGAATGTATTTTGAAGCCCTCATACCTGATTCTGGCCTCACCTTAGAGTCACATGAGGCACTTCATTAAAACAACATGGATGCTTCCACCCAGAACAATAAACAGAATCCATGGAAAAGGGTACAAGTAAGTAGATGTAGGGAACCAGCCCCACATCCCACCAGGGGGTACCTCAAGTTCAGTGGCAACAAAGGACTGAGAAAAAGACAGATTAAGAATGAAAGTGGGACCAGGGGACCATCACTTGTAATGGAGGCAGTGAAGGCCCCGAGCTCTGGTTTCCACAGTGTTTATTGAACACAATCACTTTTATCTGTAGTGCAGGTGGCAGGGTGACTCCGTGAAGGGAGGCTGTGTATCAAACAGAATTGATAGCAGTGGCGGTTTATGTGAGTTTCTCAAGAACTAAAATCATATGCTTATCTATAGTGCAGCTGGTGGGAGTGGGCTTAGCAAGCAGCCTACATGCCTGGTTACATTACAGTGCTTCAAGGAGTGTTATGTCCTTGGGCACAGTGTTTAGAGTATCAGAGCTTAGGTCACTCTGTTCCTGGGAACATGCTGGCATAGGGAGGCCTTCCTCCCCAGAGGTCTCTGCGGCCTTCTGCAGTTCATTGTTTCTGATTTCTTTTATCCATTACTTATACCTAGTTTATTTAGGCACACTGTGAACCGTTCCTCCACTGCTGCTTCCCCCAACAAGTAGAGATTTCTGCAAACTGTCCATGTAATCCTAATCAGAAATCTGGGCTGTGGTGGGCACAGTGACTCACACCTGAAATCCCAGCACTTTGGGAGGCTGAGGAAGGCAGATCACAAGGTCAGGAGATCGAGACCATCCTGACCAACATGGTGAAACCCTGTCTCTACTAAAAATATAAAAACTAGCTGCGCATGGCAGCACGTGCCTGTAGTCCTGGCTGCTTGGGAGGCAGAGGTTGCAGTGAGCCAAGATTGCGCCACTGCACTCCAGTCTGGTGACAGAGCTAGACTCCAACTCAAAACAGAAAAAAAAAAAAGAAATCTGGGCTGGTAACATTTAGCTAAGCACTGCCTCTCAAACTTTAGTAAGCTTAGAAATAACTTGGTAAAAAGAAAGAAAATAAAAATAACCCGGTAATTGTAACCCCATTCTACATATTACAATTCATACAAGGGATCTAAAATGGGTGTTTTAAACCAGTCCCCATCAATGCTGATATTGCTCCCCCTGGGCTCATTATTGGCACTAGTTAGAGAAGCAGGCACAGCACAGAGTCCCTTATACTCAGCACTCTTGTCACAACATAAATACTTCTAGGACAAATGAAGACAACTTTTATTTCCATCCTAAAGTATCATATTCTTTGCTGGCTCTTTAAAATTTATAGAACAACCAGAAGGCAGCAAAGTCTGAATGAGTCTGCATCATAAACATGTGCACATGTACTAATGCAATAATTATTAAGCAGATACTACGTGCTCAAGAGTATGTTACAGAGCAAAATTTAGAAAAAGGGTCCAGCATTTTATTTCTTCTGTTTCTGTCATCAATTTCTTTAAAAACTGTATAGAATAGGGAGCCACCGTGGCTCAGGCCAGTTGTCCTGGTGCTTGAGGAGGTGAGGCTACACGTTCAAGGCTAGCCTAGGCAACCTAAGAACCATTCATTAAAATAAAAACTTAAGACCCTAAAATACATACTTTTTTCCACTTATCTGCTTTAGGGTTAAGAAAACATGAGCACAAGCTCTAGAGAGGAAACAGGATTCACCAGCCAAAACTCTGATCTCTTCTCATCAGTTTTGTGACGCAAGGCTCCAGAGTGGGGACAGATCTAAATAAGGCCTCCAAAAAGGGTGAACTGAACAGAACTGGGGCAGGGAGGGGACCCTTTTTTGAATTCAGCTCTCTAGGCCAATGAAAGCACTACCAGTTCCATTTTTCTTAAGCTTACCTAAGAAAAACTTAAATCTCAGACTTTGTATAATTTTTACAACTGCTCCCTCAATTTCATAACATACACTATTAAGCAATTTAAACAAATCTCTTACTGATTTCTAGGGTAATTTTATTATAAGTTAAATATGTATTCTTAGCAAGGTAAAAGAAATAGAAATAACAATAAAAGCTCTCCATCTGTAAATAGCCCTTCAGGTGATGACATCAGAAGTCACGACAATATAAAGAACCTGGCCCCAGAAAAGCCCAAGATCTTTGTGCACCCATCTATTCATTCTACAACTATATGATGCTTAATCGCCAGTTCTAGTCTAGGCTAAAAGTTCCTAAATGGCAGAGACCAAGACTGCTTCACCTATTTTTCTGTGGTCATATGAAATGGAACCAACTAGTTTATTTGTTCGAGTCCCAGACCTCCTCCTCATTTTTCACCCAAGACTAGAAAACTGGAGCAACTGTTATCTGCGTAGCAACCAAAGACATCTCTTGTATCAAGGGAGAAACAAACACAGGATGACTCATTTCTCTTATGTTGAGACAGAAGCAGACTTAACAACTTGTCAGCCTGATACAGTTCTGCTCTAGACATCCTCTAATGTCTCAAAGATGCCTCCATGACTGTGAGAGGATTCCAAGTGTCTCTGGGCTGATGGCCCAATGATAAGCCAGGAAAGAGAGACTCAGGCTGATTCTAAATAAAAAATGAAACGGCCCTGGTGGAGCTCCAGAACCTGGATTATCTGTCCTGATCAGATAAGAAGATTATCTAACTCTTAGATAAGAAAAAAGACAA